AAGTGATGCTAAATGCGGAAGGAATTTGGGTCATTATTTACAAGATGGCCAAGGACTTTATTGATTATAAAGAGAAGTTAGCACAGTTATCTGGTCTTATTCTTGTTTAGAAATCATTAATGAAAATCAAAGCTGTTGTGTAATTTTTGGTTTTCAGATTTAGTCCCACGGGCAGAATAGGAAGAGCGTGAAGGGCGCTGATAGCGCTACGCACAAAATCATACAGAGTGCATAGCACCTAATTTGTCAAGGTGGTCACTTTTCTATACTACGTATAACTGTTTTTCTCTGTGCTATAAATTGTTTTTTGAATTTCGCATCCATTTTCGTGTAGCGAGGGTGTAGCGCAGTGGTTGGAGGCACCTCTGCGGCACACATGTGGAATCGATTCCCGAGCCCATGGCCCACCAAGACTTCCATCCCTCCTGAGTCGGCAAATTGTTACCAGACTTGTCTGGGAGTATAGTAGCACTGCCTCGATACATCGGTAGGCCACCGGGTTTCATTGTAAAGGCCAGACATGTGTTCAGTTACCTCCAACTATCCTTAATGAAGTCGAATGCATGGGCAACCCTCAGGGATTGATCAACGCTAAAAGCTTTTTTTTTTCTTACGTGTATCACATAAAGTACCGTTGCAATTACTGCTTGGCTGGAATCGAGTAGGTTTTCGCCATGTCATAGTGCATTCCTTTGTACGGTCGGTTCTTTGGGCTTTGACTTTGCCAGCATATCCTTTGTAATTACTGTGAAAGGTGTTGTAATGAGTGCAGTGAGATTTAATGTCATCGAATTAGAGTTATAACCGATTACTGATGGAAATGATTACGTTGCTACCGCTCATATATGCTCCACGAATGCCGGCGAACGTCTGCGGTCGTGACGATCTGGATCAGACTTTGGCCAGGCCGACCTGGGAATTCCACGAAACCACAACGGCTGAGCTGGCAAAACTGCTAAAAATAGAGAATTTGCCGGGATGCACACAACCAGTGATAACAGGCTGTCCAAATATACAATATCTCAGCAATATTGCAGTTGTACTTCGCTTAATACTCTGGCGTAAAAATTATAGAAGGCAGGAAATAAAAAGTAAGCATTGTGAATTCAACCACAGCCTCAGCTTAACTGGGTTTTATGCCGATGTGGGCTTCATAACAGCAAAAATGCGGAACTCACTTGGAAGAGAAGAGAAGCATAATTGGAAATTCAATAAAACGGAGTGTGCCGTAATGTTCGCAGAAGCAGTGAATTTGTAGAAAATCCCATGTTTTAATCCGTAGAAATATTAATTTTGATACTTGGATGGCCTATGCTCACTGGTTGTGCAGGCTCCAGTATAGTTTCCACTTTTTCGGAGTTTTGGTTGTTGTGGTAAACTGGAGTCCCGAGATCGACTTAGTCAAAGTCTGTCCCAGATCGTCACCACCACAGACGTCGCCACCCCTGTGGATCAAACGGAGACCTGCCACTATGCTACTATTTTGATACCACGACGGTGGTAGTTCCTGGTATTGGCTCACTCTTATCTGGGCGTACTGATGGAAACGCCAGAATCCTTCATGGCTTGGAAGACCCTGCTGTGGGAAAGAATCTCTCCGCTGCACATATTAGCCCGGTAACCAGGAGCACTTCCCAACCACGACGAGGCGGTAAACTAATGGGAGAGGAAAGTCTACTAATAGTAACATATCACTATAGTAAATATCAAGTGGAAATGTTGAGCAACTTGTCTTCCCATGATAGAATAGTGCCCGAGTACATTCACCAAGCAAGTGCAGGGCATTTCCGACACAACCATATGCGAGACCATACCCAGATTAGTCAGCCAAGATTCTATTTACACGCGACAATAAGCTGGAAATAAAATGTTACGGAGCATGAGTTTAAAAAAAAGCACTATGAGATAGCGCACACCACTCGTTTCCAGCCAAGCAGTAAATGCAAAGATACTTTGATGTGACGCACGTAAATAAATACGAAATTTAGGAGACAATTTGTAGCACAGAGCAAAACGTCTGTACGTAGTGAATAGCAAAATACTCACCTTGACTACTAATGTGTTGTGCACTCTGTATGAGTTTGTGCGTAGCACTACGGTCGCCGTTCCACCTGCTTCTGTTTTGCTTTTACGACTTGTTCTAACAAGCGAAAATTGCAGAACAACTTTGATTTTCATTAAGGATTTCCAAATAAGAACAAGTCGGGATAATTGTGCTAATTATTCCTCACAATCAATGAAGCCCTTAGCTATCTCGTAAATAATGACCTAAATTCCTTTCTATTTAGCACTACTTTAATATTGAGCCGTTCAGCATTAAATAAACACTTATCACCTTGTCGTAAAGTCCAGTTGTATAGGACAACCATACTTTCGGTGTCGGGCAACAAGGTTTTTTTTAGAACAACTATTTCTGCGGCATTGGACGCATCGTTTTCAGAAGTTATAGGATTTTTTTATTGAATGAAATCAAAAACGGGGCTTGGCTTACGACGAGACCAGATTTGAATTTGACGAAAAAAGATTTATAGGTTCCAAAACGAGCGTGCCTTTTCCAGAGCGTAGAAAATTTACCAAATGCACCTTGCTGACCACTTCCTGGAGGTCCTTACACTAGATTTTCAATAAAATATCACAGTAAACTTGACAAAGGAGAACTACTAGTCTAAAATAGCCATCCTATCTTAGGTGGCATGAAGGTAGCCGTAAAAGGATAAAGGATAAATCTCTTGGCGCTAAACAATTCTTGAGGGATGAGCAACGCTTTCGATTGCATCAAGCGTTGTTAAAGGTGACTCCACTTATACCTGGCCTTTGCAATGACTCGTGTTGGCCTACTGATGTATGGGATCAGTGCTACTATTCTCCAAGACAAGTCTAGTACCAATTTGCAGACCACGAAAAGATGGAAGGCTTGGTAAGGCTGCGGCGCGAGATCGATCTCATGGGTGTTGCAGAGCGCTACTGACCACTGCGCTAAACGCGACCCTGTAGGCAGACGTGGGACAGAGAATATTTAGCTTTGCTACATAGACATTTTTAGAGTCGTCTATGATTTATAACACTGACAATAGTCGCTGCACTAAAAAAGTGCCAATATTCCAGTTTGATGCTCTAGAATTGGAGCGTGTGTTGCGTAGCGAAGTACTCAAAAGCTCTGGTGAATTTCTCTATTCCTTAAGCAAGAAGATTAGATGCCTTCTCCGTTGTCACAAAGGAGTTGCGTGCGAAGAGGAGGAAATTGAAGCTCGTTCATTCTGCAACACGTTTCATACGGCAACTAACGAATGGAAATTGCAGAAGAGCATTTTAGGAATATCTACGTCGGTAGACGCAAGGGAAACTGTTAGAAGCGGCACAAAAAAGCACCAGTTCGAAAAAGTGTCGTTTGAACATAAACGATTATAAGGCTCCGTTGTCAGGCTTGATGAACGAAGCTGGGACCCACCAAAACACCACACCGTGATGAGCAGTTGGTAACTGAACAATTCTCCATCAATCTTCTCCGTTACAAAATATTCGTCTCAGACCTTGAAATCCCCGCTTAGGAAAAGTCTCCTGGAATTCTTCAGTCAGAGGTTCGAATTATGATAAAAAGCGTGAAACGAGGCACGGTTCCAGGAGCTAATGATATTACTGCGAAATTCCTTATGGCTGAGAGCTGCAATTTACATGTACTTCTATTAAACAATATGACAGCCTAAATTCAAAAAGAAGGAATCATAGAGCAGTGAAGGACGTCGCGCACGGTTGTGCTACCCAAGAAAGGTAACCAAAGGGATGTTCGTAAATATCGTTTCCAGCAAGCTTATCCTCTAGCGCATATCAAGGGCATGAGGCGTAAGCAATAGAGCAAACAGGGTTTCGAAAGTGATTATGTGCACGGACCAGATCTAAACCGTGTTGATGGTCACTCAAGTTTGTAGGGAACACCAAATCTTTACTGAATGGCAGTAATTTTACAACTATTTAACGAAAATATACCTCACACATATGACAATAAGTCACAAAAAAAGGTGAAAGGAGAAAACAATTCATCAAAGCTACGAATGAAGTAGAATGAAGCATTTTCTAAAGATCAGTTTATAAGAATACATAAATAAATATATCAACTATCTATGCCGAGGTTTATAGAAAGTCGGTCTTTCGAGTTATTAAGAGATGTTCCAGCAAAACATTTTCGACACAATAAAATTGTTTAGCCAGTTCAGCTTAGACGAGGTTGTTGCATTACATGACTTTTCCTCGGCTAACATTTCAACGCCTTCGTTTTCCTCAGAGCGGGACACAACTTTCCAGAATAACTGTGTAGATACCGAGCTGACAGATCGCCTTCCAAAGTCTTCGCAACTGCCACCTGACTACTGGCAAGCATTAGCGCATCTGCGCACAAATTTTGTTCCCTCAGTGCAGCTCCTGCGTTTCCGCATGTCCTACTCTCACGGGCCTCATCGTCCATTAATCTGCAAACGATTCAATGACTGAATACGAAACGAATAAATAGGATAAATAAAATGTTTCATGAAAAAGAGCGTCGCAGCATTGATATCTGCAAGCATCTTGCAAATCACCTACAGCGTGGTATGAGTGTCCCAACTGTGAGTACACAAGGAACAAAATCGTAGGGTCCTCAGTATCCAATGCCAGTGCCTCCACGAGGATTGCAATGTCTAAATCTAGAACTACTAAGAATTATGGAAAAGAATGAATGAAACTTAACTGACAGTCTACGAAAAAAGCTAGACAGACTAAACTGAACATTATGGTACTCATGCTCATGGTAGAGATTAGTTCCCCTTTTTCAGCTAATTTGAAGGAAGCAGGCTGAGCTTCGTCATCGACTTGGTCCGTGTTACCCTGCCGAGAGGTGGGATGGGAGACAGAGATCTTCTGAAAGATGAATGAAAAGATGACCCTTTGTCAGAGTGATAAACTGGTAGACGGAAACGGCAGCAGGGGAGTACTAGCTAGAAGGGAAGAAACAAGAATAGAATATGAAAGATTACTAAGCAAAATTCATAAGACAAATCGAGAAAGCCATTTTTTGTTTGGAAGGGCATGTGGAAGAAAACTACTTCAAAACTAGAGCTATACACAGTGTATCGACGTTTCAGTTATGAAAACGTGTATAATGAATTCTACAAAACCGACGAAATTTCATGCTTGTGGTTGCGGAACAGTGGACGGCTTTAAAATGAATTTGGTGAGGTCATATTTATAGAAAATAGAAGAGTAACAGGTGAGGTTCTTTAGAGCGACAGAGTTCAGGAGGACTACTTATTAACTGAAGTGTTATTCAGCTTCAAGGAAAAATCAGGCTTACCGAGAGAAAACTTCAAATGGAAGCTGTCGACATACGACCATCTAGAGCAACTGACATTTTCAAACGCTGATCAATAGGCTGATCAATAATTTTCAAACCAACCGTAATTTTTTCTCGGTACTATAATAATCAACACTTGTTTATATTGTTGAGATTACACGAGGTTGATAGAGAATTTTCAACCGAAAATCCATCCTGCACCAGTTGGTATTTTGTTAGCTAGCACATAGCGAATAGCAAAACAATAATTTTGAAGGTGTGTTCGGCTTATTCGAGGTGCTCAACTGAGGAAGATCCCGCACGATGTGAGACGAAGGCGCCACATCGAGAAGAAGAACAGCTGTGGACCATCGACAAGGATCGTCGATTCTTATGAAGACGAAGTTGTCGAAACGTTTGCCCAATAAACATCTCATATCAACCTAGTGTAAGTTCAACATTATAAACAAATGTTGAGGATGATCGTTGAAGATCCGTACTCTTGGATACTTCGATACTTGAACATGTCAGCCTACAAAACCTGGCCTGGCCAAAGTCTACACCAGGTCGACACCACCACAGATAGTCGCCGCGCTTGTAGTTCAGCGGGACATCGCAGTACGACACCCAGAAACACCTCCCAGCCACGATGATGTGGTAAACCGGTGTGATGAGCCGAAAAACCTACCGAGAACTGGCTTCCGTTCTTAAACATCCAAATAAAGCTCACTGTAAGTGGCTATGTAACAAAATGGAATCGCAAGCCAAGTAGTAAAAACATTCTAGTTCACTGCCTCTCCTCTCATCCTTCACACATAAAAAAGCTCTTATCGAAAATATGTATCGTACGACTAAAAATGTGTGTACAGGAGAAGAGGAAAGGAAGGAATCGCGAAACCTGGCACGAAAAATTGCCATTTCCAATGGTTGCGAAGTAGAAGCCACTCGGGTTAGAGGAAAACGTTAGGTGGTTTCCCAAAATAATATTTCAGACGAAAGTAGGATCCCCTTTAAGCTGTCCTTCATATCAAATGAAGTAAGTCACGCCATTAAAAAGTGCTTAGGAAAAAGTGGTCTTGAAAATTATGTAACGATTATTGACATCCCACCCAATACCCTACGCCGCCAGTTCGAAACCGTCTCTATGATCGTTTGTGCAGCTCAGAAAACTGCATGATCTTTCGAAAGCGACTTTCCCTGAACCTCGGTGTGACTGATCAATATGTATTCTTTCTTGATAAGCTTGCACGAGGTTGATAAATATATTTATTTTCGGTTAGTCTTCGTCTTCCTCAGAGCCGATGATCCGAGTCGATGGTCCATGAGCCGAAAATAAATATATTTATCAACCTCGTGCAAGCTTATCAAGAAAGAACACATACTGTATGATCTGTCCCAATGGGAGAGACGGGGATTGCATGAGTTTAGGTATAATATACTTGATCTCATGTAATGCATGCGGCGAGGAATATATCGGGGAAACGGGTAGACCACTTTGTGTCCGCATAAAAGAATATCTAGATGGAAGAGCTGAAATCCGTTTAAACACCCCTCTAGGTACGCATAGGGCACAAAAGCACAACGACGATGATTTTGAAGTGAATGTGCGGATCCTGGCGCAGGAATCAAAAACATCAACGCGCAAAACTCTTCAGGCGTTTTGGATAAATTTCAAAAATCTAAAGATGAACCGGAAAGACGAATGCCTCACTATCACGCGTGACCTGGCGCCCTATTTCAAAATGATATTTTGACCCCGGGGTGTGTCTTGCTCGCGACTCCACGAAAACAACGCGTCCCGCACGTAACATCACGGTAAGTGGCCTTTCTGTTCAATATGGCGTCTATTTGAAAGTTTGATCCTCATTAACACTTTACCCTTTCTTTTCCACCGAATAATAAAAATATTTTAATGTAAAATACGTCCAGGCTCTGAGGAAGGCGAAGTCGCCGAAACGTCAGCCATCGTTCAATAACATCAAAAACAACGACAACGACAACGACAACGAAGATCTGTACCAAGCTCGCGTCAGCTTAAGAAAATCAGTTTATAAGATCACATAAATAAATATATCAACTATCTATGTCGAGGTTTATAGAAAGTCGGTCTTTCGAGGACCCGTATTCTATTTTTCCGACACTCTTATCACTAACTTCTATCAACCTCGTTCACATAATTCAATCAACTGAATTGCATTATTACCATTACAAGTGCTTCAGCTATTGGCAGTCGTCGAACTACTTATGAGAAGAAACAGCAGACCGCAAAACTTTGCGCAAGCATGGGTGGCAGTATGGTAATCAAATCATATCAATAATCGGGTTCCATCAAATTCGATGACTCTAAATTTCATTGCACTCATTGCAACAGTTTCTCAGTGATTAAGGCAGATACGATAACAAAAACGAAGGCCCAACGAAACCACCTCACGAAGGAATGAACTATGAGATGGCCCACCCCACTCAATTCCACACGAGCAGTAAATGCAACGATACTTTGAAGTGAAGCACGTAAAACAAAATAGAAAGAATAATTTATAGCACACAAGAAAACAGCTGTACGTAAAAAACAGCAAAACACCTCGAGCAATGGTGCGGCCTACACTATGTTTGATATTCTGCACAGTACTGCTGATGTACAGCTTATCTCACCATGTTCCTAGCACTAGTGTACACAATGGAGTACACACTCTCTGATGCACTCTGTCTGAAGTTGTGCGTAGCACTTTCGTCGCCCTTTGACCTCTTTTATTCTTCCGGCGTGACTAATTCTAAAGACCAAAAATTACACAACAGCTTAAAGAGTAGAGATAATTGTAGATGCTTTTAGAAGCTGTTGGAACTTTTCATTGAATGAAATAAAAAATATGAGACCAGATTTAAATTGGACGGAAAAAGATTTATAGGCTCCAAAACGAGAATGTCTCATTCAGAGCGTAAGAAATCTCATAATTAATGTTTGCTGACAATTTTCGAGAACTTCGTATTTTAGATTTTATGCAAAACATCACGGCAGACATGAGAAAAAAACTAATAGTCTAAAATAGTTATTCTATCCAAGATGGTACGAAGGTAAACGTGAAAGGATAAAGGATAAGGACCTTGGCGTTGATCAGTTTCTGAGATGAGCACGAAATCACTTTGTTTTTAAACATTTAAAAATAACGCAACTCAAAAGAGCAAGACAACCAACGATTCTTTATAACACGGAGACCAGTGAATGTGGTAGTGTCGTACTCTTCCGCCATGGTTGAAGAGAATCATTTGTCAATTTAAAAAGCCCGAAAACTACTACCATATTTCGATAACAGTGGCATTCGATCCATTTGAGGCTATGAATATGGCGATGCACTTTCCTCATTGTTAGGTACTTAGTTATGTTCTAAAATACTCGCACCCCCAGTTGTGCACGGGTGCGTTACACTTCTCTGCTATGCGATCACAGTTATTCACCAATATATCAAGCCGGATGATTGTTAACACATATGAGTGGCACATGCCCCACATACTTTGCTGAAATAATTTGAAAAAGATGCAAATACACTGATTACGAAGCTTAGCAGGCGTAGATATTCTGCCTGACTAGGTGCATTTCATAGCCTGCCAAGTAGCCAAAAGATACTTGTTCATTAGCTCTCGTTAGTAAATATTTCAAGACACTTAGACACTTGAGCATCTGGACGGCCCATAAGCACTGGTTGTGCGGTTCCAGCATAATCTCCGCTTTTCGGAGCTCTTCTGGCTTAGCCATTTTGGCTCTTTGGAGTTCCGAGATGAGCCTGGCCAAAGTATGCCCCAGTTCGTTACCACTACGGGCAGTCGCTGCCCGTGTGGATCAGAGGGATGTTTGCCACCATGGGAATAGTTTGATACCAGGACAGTGGTGGATCCTGGTATTGGTTTCTCTTAGGTAGGTTTCTTGATGGAAACGGCGGACTCTTTCTCAGCTTAAGAGACAATGCCGTGAGGACGAATCCCCCGCTGTACATTGCAGTCCGACACCCGGAAACACCTCCCAGCTAGAATGAGGCGGTAAACCGTTGGAAAAATTTCAAAACGAACGCGAAGCAGTTACAAATTGTTCGAATTAGCTTACTGTTTCGTGCTTAACAGTTTGTAAGAAAACAACGTGATCCTTAGCGTATTTCGTAACTGTTGATCAGTGCAGAAACCTCTTCTCTTCTCACAAAAAAATTGACCCGTTTAGCTAAAAGACTACGTAGCGCGGCTCCAAATATCGGGGCCTTCTACTTCACTACTGAGAGGCAGGAGAAATCAGCGAAGACTTCGCATGTCTACGCAGGACCGGAAGTGCTTGTACGTGTTCAAGCGTGAAACGTGGGTGCTCTCGTACTCCCTGTTGTGGAAAGCGTTGCATGATTATCGATTGATTCCGCATCCACGACATTGCTTGTTCTTCCCATCCGACCTATAACAACGTTGTCCAGCACTTTTCAGTCACGATGTGTCTTCGATAACAAGATATTTCCCAGTGTTGTCGTATCATTCGCGAAGTACCCACTAGATCCTACTAAATGCAACTGCGAAGACACTCATTGTAAAAAGATACCACTGCCATGGACAGTCAGCTCGGATCATTGCCATACTAAAGAAGTCAAAGATATCGAAGTGCTAACAACAATAAAAAACCTTTATAACAACTTCATTTGGGCTCTCCAATAGTACGAAATGTTGACTATTCACTACGGAGTTAAATGAAAGCGTTTGCCAAAATTCTGCACTGACCATCGATGGGGCCGGTGTTCTAGTAATGATTGAACGTTTTCCCTTACCATTATGAGCGTTATGCAGTTTTTCTAGCTTCTCAAAATGGTTTTCTTGCTGTCCAAGCACATTCTAGTAGAGAAAATATGTTTTGCGGATTAAGTGATGTCTCGTTCGGTAAAATTTTGACAGGCATTAAGCCATTACCTATCAAAATATAATATTACAATAAGGGGTCCGAAAAATTAGCGGTAGGCTTCGACCCTGATTTTCACGTGCCATGTCTAAACTCAGAATAGGCTTAGCAAAGTTGAGCCATTAGTTGAAGCACCAGTTGAACGAGAACGATGAGGTTCTTCACATTTTTGCCCACGAGCTCGGTGTTCATGTGGGTTGTTTAGAATTATGAACATCTCAAGGTGATGACGAGGTTGAAGGAAGAGTGGAAATTGTTGATGAAGTGGTAGCCGAGGGAAGAGAGTTCCGATGAATACGGAAGAGTTCCGTAGCCTAAGTCGTTCAGCCTTTGTAGGACCAGCACAGCACCTTGTGACTGTGGGTTATCGTGAAAAGAATCGGACCCTATTTGTCGATGGATGGGAGCTACGGTCGTTAATATTTCTCGTGCACTTCGCCTACTTTCTACATGTAATTCTTTTCTATAATCGTTTCGCGTGGATGCAGGAGGCTATAATGAGTTGAAGCTCTTGGTAGCTCTTGGTTCCCACACCTTCGTCGTAGAATTCACCACTACGTATTTTACCAAACCAACATTCACTGCACGTTCGTTAGGACTTTTTTGGCCCTATATCTCACTAGCCTTTCGGACTCTATACACTGGGCACGCCTTAGTTTGATTATACAGAGGTAGATATGTTGAAGACGCCTCTTCGAAACCTGAGTGTTTCAGAGTTTCATAGTTTCTACATCAGAACTTTTCTCTTCTTCTTCTTCTTCGAAATTCTTCGTTCAATTTCATTCTCATTAGTCATTTCGATTTGCTTTCCATTGCAGCAGCATGTTTCCTACTTACAAGCTTTCTTTCCGGTTCACTCATAGTACTGACCTTTTCCTGCATCGTTAACTTTTTAGGAAATCATCATCTTTGTTTCACCAATAAATCTCTAGGACGTAAATATCACGTCGGCGAACCTATCACTAACATGTTGTAGTTCCCAAGGCCGACTTTCCAATAACTTCAACCCTGATTGACAATTTACTGAATTTCTTCGATAAGCAAACACGACGTTGGTACTATAGAATTTATTAGCACACGATACCTGATGTTACGACGGTTTCGAATTCTTCGGGTCCTGGAACGGTAAAATTGACATGCGGTCTGCTCAGCCGAACGCTTTCGTAACCTTAGCAGATGAGACTCAACACTTGAATTTGCATTGCATCGAATTTCAAGAACCAGGCCAGGACAAGGTTTAGGAACTACGCTATTCTATCCATTCGCCCACCTGTACAAACTTATGAGTGGTCTCAAACAGTGTTTCAAACGCTTTTTAAGCTACCCTTCATAACAAATGAGATAAGTTGCACCAATAGGAGATGCTTATGAAACAGTCGTCTTGAAAATTATGTAGCGATAATCGATCACCCACTCAGTACCCTAATGCTGTCAGATAGTTCGCCACCGCCTCTACAATCGTTTCTCCAGCTCAGAAAAATGTATCGTCTGCCCTAACGACTGGAACGCAGATTGCATGAGTAGTGGTACAATATAATTGATTTTGTGTAAATCATGCGATGGGGAATACATTGGGGAGACGGGTAGACCGCTTTGTGGCCACATAAAAGAATATCTAGATGAAGAATTTAAAATTCGTCAAACCACATCTATAGGTACAGGTAAGGACCGAAAGCATAATAGCGATGATATTGAAGTGACTGTCCGGATCCTAGTGTGGGGATCCAAAACTTCAACGATCAAGACTCCTGAGACGTTTCCGATAAATTTCAAAAATACAAAGATGAACTGGAAAGACGAATGGCTCACTATCGCACGTGACTTGGCGCCTTGTTTCAAAATGATTTTTTGATCTATGGGTGCGTTTCACTCGCCCTTCGACACTAACAATGCGTGGGCCAGTCTGGCTCTTGAAAGTACTGTTAATAGACTTTCCGACCAGTATGGCGTTTACTTGAAAATTTGATCATCATTAATAGTGTAATTAGTCCACCGAATATAAGAGAATTGCTGCATAAAATACGTCTATGCTCTGAGGAAGGCGAAATCGCTGAAATGTCGACCATCGACGAACTATACCAACAACAACAACATCAATAATAATAATAATAATAATAATAATAATAACAATTTAAACCTCGCCTCGCATGTGCCAACCTCGCATCAGTTCAACAAGATCAATTGATAAGAACATGTAAATAAATATATTGCATTGGTTTGTTGATAATCTTGCAGTAAGGTTGTCGTAAAGCTATGGGAGACAATTGAGTGAAGTAGCCTTACAGAGCACTTCTCCGCCTTTACAAATGCTTTACTGCGCTGTAAATTACCTCAACATGTACCATTACCTACTGTTCACGAGATACTACATTTGAGGGCAAACGCAGTTGAAGCTCTACTGTAATCGATAATCAAACATATTGTGGATGTTTTATAAGGTTCTGAATCGTTTGGAAACAAGTTCTTCTACGAACTGGAAAATCGATGCTAGTAGATTGAAAATTCAGCTTTATTGGCTGCAAGTCGATCAATCTGCATGTAGCTTTATTACGAGATTGATACTCCTTCTCAAGTACAAATTCAGGAAAGTCGAACAATTTTATCAGAAGTAAAGCACAACCGCCGGGATTGTCCAAGACCAAAACGCGACTGTTAAAAAGTATCGAACCGGTCTTCATGGGTGAAAGAGAGAAAGCCGAAAGAGAAGGAGTTCGACATTTCTATCGTGGCGTCCGTGTTGGAGTAAATTAGTGTCATAGACGAGCAGAGTAAACCGCCACATAAATCGGCTTGTAATGAACACCGAAGTGAAGCACTCCAGGTAATGGGAGAAGTGACGTTTGCGTCGCATGGGTGAGCGGAACCCTTCGTGGAATAATGACTTGAGAAATGGGCAAACAGGAGGCCTATTACCTTCCCGCTCAAGGAGCTTGGTGATCGACGGTGTTACAGGCAATATTGAAGATTTCTAAAGAAAATGTACTTTCCTAGGACCTGCATTGTGGTGAAGACCTCGCAAGGTTAAGTCAGGATTTCGCATGGAATCGAAATGCTCAGCCAACAACAGGGCAATCACAGCACCCACGCATCGAATACACGTACGACATGCCATGGAGCCTTTGCACGGATAATTTCTTACTTTGCACCTATAATACCAGAATAGCCATCACAGACGACGATCTTCACGACTTGACACATCGGTAGTCCCGTCATTTTGTTCTGGTTCCGCTCATCGCCCTCTTTATGTGGAGATTCGATTCAGCCGTGACCTGGAAAAGAATTAATCTCATCGATCACGACGCGGAAAACTCAGCCTGTATATGACAAGAACATTCTGAACGATATCCGATCTAAGCGTGAGTGAGGACATCAAGCAAGACCTCACCGAAGACTGTGAGCCGTTTGTCGAAGGACTCAAAAGTTGCGTCAGACTACTCCGTTCCCTAAACAAGAGGATCAGACCACATCTCCATTACTACTAAGAAGTTTCTCGTTTCTCAAAAAGAGAGGAAAACTGGTTTAATCTAACTGGAACACGTTTAATACAGCTGCTAATAAATGGCAGTTGCAGAATAGCTTTGTAGGAGCAATTACATCCATAGAGGCAAAAAAACTGTAAAAAGGTGTACAAAAAACCACCACTCTCAAAAAGTGTCGTTGGAACTTGTGCGATTATAATGACCCGCTGTCAGCCCCGATGTAAGAAGACGAGACCATGTAATCGTCCCGCCATAATGTGGAATTGATAACGGAAAAGTCCTAGTTAGAACTTTTCCGTTCCAAAATACTCATCCCGGATCCTTAGATCTCCGCTACAGAAAATCATCCAGAATTCTCCTATCGGAGGTTCCAGTTGCGATAGCAAGCATGAATACAGGCACAGCTCCAGGAAACGATAATATTACTTCCGACTACCTTAGAGCTGGAAGTTGTAATTTGCATGCACTTCTCGCAAGTCATATGACAGCCTGTTTTCAAAAGAAAAAATCCCAGATCAGCTTAGTATGTCCATGCTATCATCCTTCAGCCAGAAAGGTGGCCGAAGAGATCTTCGTAACTATCACCCGACATAGTTGTTAAGTGTACCTACCACCTCATCAGGAAGATTATCCTGTAGTGCATGTCAAGAAGATTGGATGAGGCGCAACCAGCGAAGCAAGCAGGATTTCGAAAATCACTTTGTGCGCGGACCACATCTAAACCGTGTCAAGGGTCATTCAAGTTTTCGGAAGCACCGAGCCTTTATTGAGTGGCAATTTTACAACAATGTAACAAAAACATACTCCACACATATGACAATATGTCACAAAAAGGTAAAAACTGAAAACAAATCATCAAAATCACGAACGAAGCGGAATTAAGCACCTTCTGCAATTTAAAACACGCTGTAGAGCTATTAAATACAAACACACAATGAAATTATTTAAAATATTCAGCTTACACGAGGTTGTTAAACAACTTTTCATCGGCTAACATTTCGACGTTTTCGTCTTCCTCAGAGCGGACAGCAAAATGCACAAATACTGACAAATAGCAAGAAATACATATGCGGTATTTACTTCAATGTACTTCATAAACAAGCAAAGGAAATTTCAGACGAGGATTGAAACTTTTCGCCTATACTCCCTTTCCTTGATTTCCACAGACCCGTTATCTCTCCTTGGGCATAACCGTCACCTGTTTCGCATGCATAGGACATAGGTTCGTGCCCACGAGCAGCTCAACCACTTTGGATTTGGCTGCTTCTTGAAGTATAACTACAGCCGAAGACTGGAAATGTGCTTCTGCCTCGCAACTCTGCGCAGTTTCTCGCACAAAATCTTGGCGCGCCAAGCGAATTAGGGCCTCCATCGATTACTGAAAGTAACGAATCTCCCGCAGGGCTATGGTTTCAGTACGATAGCGATAAAATCTTTTCACACCAACAGTGGTCAATAAAAGTAAACTCCGCACCAGTAAAAATGGGGGCTTACTTAGAGAACAAGAGCTCAGTAAAATTGGAAATTCGGTAAAACGGAGTGTGCCGTAATGTTCGCGGAAGCAATGAATTTCAAGAAACATCCCATGTTTTATTCCGTAGAAGTATTAATTTTGCTACTCGGATGGCCTGCGCTCACTGGTTGTGCAGACTCCAGTATAGTGCCCACTTTCTCGGAGTTTTGCTGGTGTAACTGTTTTGGTAAACTGGAGTCCCGGGATCGACTTAGTCAAAGTCTGTCCCAGATCGTCACCACTACAGCCGTCGCCACCCTGTGGATCAAATTGGGATTTGCCACCATGCTACTAGTTCGATACCGCGACGGTGGTAGATCCTGGTATTGGTTCATTCTTAGCTGGGCGTACTGATGGAAACGCCAGACTCCTCCATAGTTTGGAAGACCGTGCTGTGGGGAAGAATTTCTCCGCTGCACATATTAGCCCAGCAACTATGAGCACTTCCCAACCACGAAGTGGCGTTAAACTGAGGGGAGGGGAAAAAGTACTAATAGTAACATATCGCCATAGTAAATATCAAGCGGAAATGTTAAACAACTTGCCTTCACATGATAGGATAGTGCCCGAGTACATTCACCAAGCAACTGCAAGGCATTTCTGAGACAACCATATGCGCGACCATATCCAGATTAGTCAGCTAAGCTTCTACTTACACGCGACGATAAGCTAGAAATAAAATATTACGAAACATGAATGCAAAAAATGCACAAAATTAAAAAAAATCTACGGTAATGAGGAAAACAACCGTGCGTAGAGAACAGCAAAGTACCCACCTCGACTAATAGGGTGTTGTGTCCTCTGCCTGATTTCGTGAGCAGCAGTAGTGTCTGCTGTCTGCTTTGTCTCAACTTATATGTAGCACTACACTCGCCATTCCAACTCTTCCTGTTTTGCTGGTACAAACAGCTGTTAAAAGCAAAAATTACAGAACAACTTAAATTTTCACTAAGGATTTCTAAATTAAAACAAATCGGAATAATTTTGCCAGCTTTTCTTGACAATCAATGAAGTCCTTGGCCATCTTATAAATAAAGACCCATATTTTTCCCATTTTGCACCACCTTCATACTGATCCTTTCACTATTAAACAAACATGTATCACCTTGTTAGAAAGTCCAATTGCATAGGACATTTTTTTAGAACAGCTATTTCTGCGCCATAAGAGGCATGGATTTTAGAAACCAATGGAATTTTTGTTGAATGAAATGAAAAACAGAGCTTAGCTTACGACGAGGCCAGATTTAAATTCGACGAAAAAGATTTGTAGGCTCCAAACCGAGGATGTTTTCCTCAGAACGTAGGAAATCTACCAACTACACTTTCCTGACAACTTACTAGGTGTTCATAAGCTAGATTTTCAATGAAATATTAGGGAAGACTTGACGATAAAAGCAACTAATCGAAAATAGACATCCAATCTAAGGTGGAATAAAGGCATACATAAAAGGATAAATGGTAAAGAATTTGACGCTGATCAATTCTTGAGAAACATGCCGCGCATTCGACTTCATCAAGAATTGGTAGAGGTGACTCAACGTGCATCTGGCCCTCCGCACACTCACCGCTTTCTGTGAGTCTTCCACTGAGTATCTCGTGTGAAGGCCAACCGCACAGAATTCACATGGAAGCGTAATGTGCCCCTACCATCGGAATAACAGGTTTATATACTGCCCTATATCACGCGTCATAATGAGGCATCCTTCCCTGCGGTTCATTTTCGGATTTCTGGAATTAATCCAGAACACCTCGAGAGTTTTACGCGCTTGTGCTCTTGATTCCTACGCGAGGATCGTGACACGTACTTCAATAAACAAGCCAACTGAAGAAATCCTTCTCATATGTCTCTGGGTCCTATGCGTGCCTAATGGGGTATTTGGTTTATGTTTCCGGCTAGGTGTTCTTTTATGCGGATACAGAGGGCTCTGCCCGTTTCGCCAAAGTATTCGTCTCCGCACGCCTTACAGAAGAGCAGACAAACTATACCCGAGCTCATGCAATCACCGTCACGTTTATCCTACCCTTCGTCTCAAATGATGTAAGCGCAGCTATAAAACGCTGTTTAAGAAGGGTGGGTCTAGAGAATTCGGTAAACGTAGTTGAAATGCCACCGAGTAATCTTAGGCCCCAGCTAGTTGGTAACCGACTGTAAATAATAAATCATGACCGTCTATGTGCAACGCAAAATTGCATAATTTGCCCCAATGGCAAAGACCTAATTCTCCTCACAGTCTTCTTTCACCTCCTCTGTATTGCTTTGCTACACAGATATTTTTAGAGTCGTCTATGATTTATAGCACTGACAATAATCGCTACACTCAAAAAGTACGACTATTCCAGTTTAATGCTCCAGAATGAGAGCGCGTGTGGCGTAGCGGTCGGAGGCGCCTTAGGCGAGAAATCGATCCCCGTGCCTGAGGCTCGCCAAGCCTTCATCATTCCGAGATCGGCAAATCGGTGTAGGCTTGGCTGGCAAGATAGCAGCACTGGCTCCATATATTGGTAGGTACTCGTGAGTCACTGTGAAGGCCAGATCAAATATGTATCAGATATGCTTTCAGTGATCCCCAGAGATGCTTAGTGAAGTCAAATGCGGGGCGACCTAATTCTCAGGGAGTGATCAACGTCGAGAGCTTTCTTTGATGCTATAGAATGGCGAAAAACTTCTTGTCCCTCGATAGTCGAAAATGGTCCTATTTTGGCCCCTCAAGCTTGGGCCAGTAACCAAGTGCTGCACAAATTCATGCAATTCTACAGAAGCTATACTGTCATTGAGCTACCGAAACTATTTGATTATTGCACTTAGTTTCAAAAACCAGTAAACTTGGAGTCGAAGCAACTAACCTTGAAAAAATTAAATCGAAGCAGTCCCAGGAGTGAATCGACCGATTCCATTAAAACCGGGAACAGATTGCGCAATTCTGCCTCGCGTCACAGACAGCTCGCGCGCGGTCGCGATGCGGCTAACCTGCCCACGACAGTAGTTTGAAATAGTGCATCTCCTATCTTACTGATACACCGTAGTTGCAATGGAAGCGTGTACCGCAGCGGTCGGAGGCCTCCTGCGATGGACATGGGATCGATCCCCACGCCAATGACTCACCTAGCGCTCCACCACTCGGGGTCGTCATACTGGAACAAGACTTGTCCAGGAGATTAGCAGCACTGGCTTGATGCATTGGTAGCCCACCGCAAGTCTTTGTAGGGACCACAAATGCAGTCATTCACCTTCAGCGATGCTTAATGAAGTCGAATGCATGGCGCATCCGTTAGGAATGGATCAACGCAGAGAGCTTCATTGTTTCAACCTTTCGACAGTTCCCAAGATCCTTTTACCTGTATTGATACACTACATACATTCTAGACAGGTTTTCGCTTTTATGCCACCGAAAAGCACATTTGGTAGTGGTCTTATGATTCTGACCAAAGTCGCCTAATTGTTGTTAGTGTGGGAACAGCATAGAAATATTTTCACGAAACGGCTTTCATTTAACGCCGACCATGAGTGCCCAATATTTTCTCCTATTTATTCGCTTGCATGAGGTAGATATGAAGTGCTTACTGCAGCTTACGTTTTGGCTCGCTGGTCTTCCGCAGAGCCGCAACTATTCGAGTCCAATATCCACAATAATTTTGCCAACTCTGTGCAGTCTCTAGAATAGAATAAAATAAATAGTAGTATTAATTTTTGTAGCTATTTACATATTCTTTATCCTCTCAGTGGGAACAGTACAACCTGTTTGCTGCCTGTGAGCGCTGTGCCCTCTGTGTTTCTAAGATACTGATACCTTCGTTTATCATCACAGGTTGGTTACCGGTTTAATTCGATGGACTCCAGGTATGGCTGGAATTGAGGTATTTAAGTAAGACTTCGATGAAATCTGACTAATTAGTGATATGATGACGCTTTTGAAGCCATTCACGAGGAGGAATGATGCCCTCAGCTGAGCGAATAGTGTGATAAGTTTCTATGTGACATGTTGCTGTCAACGGAAGTAGTAAGCCTGCAAATCCCTCCTTCCTTGCCGTAGTTCCTACGAATGTTGTTTTCTCATAGATTAAGCACATCAGCCCACTAACAAGTATTCACCTAATGCTTTCTAGATGAATAGGGCTTCTTTTGCGACTATGTCCGCCAAACTCACTTGCGTATGACACAACACATCTTGCTGTAGATTAATACAACCGCGACTTTCATCACTATAATTGTTGCTCCGTTGTGCTATAGTAATACCGTGCTGTGCTATTATATCTAACATGTTATTCCGAAATAGTTGAGACGATAAAGTTTGGGGGAAGATTGAAGAACAAAGTGAAGAAGAGATTGAAAGACGTAGAGTTTACATCAAAATTTTGAATGATAAAATTTATAACGGCACTGCAGCTAGTGTCCTCTACAGATGTACCGCAAAATTATCCATGATCCGTGGTCCACTAGCACTACACCTGTTTGTCAGTGTTTATGGCGAATGTTTCTTGAACGGAACACGATATGGTATTGGCGCTAATGTTGGAATTAAGCGCTTGAACGCTCCTCGTCACGTATCGTAGTGCTGGCTTACTTTTGTCGAGGGCGACCATTGCAGCACTTGTTGTGAAGTGTTGGCTGGGTTCACATCAGCTGAATCTCCAGTTTACTTGGTTTCTGAACGAATGACGCTCGCGTTGTCCCATCCCACCACATGGCTCGTTAACAATAAAATTCGTATCTAGCTAACATGAGTAATGTTTGGTCATCATGAATAAGCCCCAGAAAGACAAAAAACGCTCGGAATTCCACCCGTGAGTGACATTTCTATAGTATGTATTCTTTCTTGATAAGCTTGCACGAGGTTGATAAATATATTTATTTTCGGCTAACGTTTCGACGTCCTCGTCTTCCTCAGAGCCGGTGATCCGAGTCGAT